CTGTATTCTGAATACTGGCGCTGCTTGTGCATGCACACTTGGTCTCTCTAGCTGCAGCTTTCCCTGTGTTCACCATTCCAAACCAGTATGCAAGTGCTAAAGCCAGCAATAGCTTCCAGATGTCAACATGGAAAAAACCTGCCAATGAATATTTTAGCCAGTTTTTATTTTTAACCAGTACTAGTCTGCAGGGAGTTGTTTATTGAAATAGAGTGGGGAGGATCAAGCCTGTTCCTTCCTCTGTGCAAGTACAGGTACCTGTTGCTGTGCCTCAGGACCAGGCAGTGGGTTGGTTTGGAGCTGGGGTCCCTGTGAGCTGTCCCTGGCAGCTCTGCTCTTCAGGAGGAGATCCTGGCTCCGAGTGCTCACTGTCCTGCAGGAGTGAGCTCACAGGGAATCAGCCAGGTTCTCTGGGCTCAGGAAGAGCTGCCTCTGGGGGCAAGAGGCAGAGATGTTTTGGAGTTGTACCTCACGGACTCTGTCACTTGGAGACGTGCTGAGAGCTGTGTGGTCTGGGAGCTGTTCATGGACCACAGCAAAGGGACTTGTGGTTCTGCAAAGTGAAGAAAATGCTGCATGTGCCTGTGGAGTGTTGCGCCTGCCCCATCTCTTAGGGGTCTGTTCGTGTGCTGTCCTTTGGCTGGGTAGTGCTGGGGTGCAAAACTTCTCCTTGGAGCTATTATTTTTGTTTGGAGTGCTATTACACCTGAACAAATATTGTGATAGGCATGGTGGAATCACCCTTAGCTGCAATTTTGGCTTTGTTGTGTTGTTTTTGCAAGGAGAAAAGGTATTTGCTTAAAACATGACTGTCAAAACCTAATGAAAGTCCAGTCCCTTCATCTGGCTGAAGGAGATTTTAGGACAGTTTGGAAACCCAGAAAAAACAGCAGTGGATTCAGTGGGCTGTGCAGTAGGTACTGCTTGTGCATAATCTGGGAAGAGAAGATGGCAAAAATGTGCCACTTGCAGGTTCTTGCTATTAATAGTGAGTGACTCTTGTAACATGGGAACATGGCATAAATTCACAGACCATAATCAAAGGGTTATTTAAAAGGCAATCTCCGCCTGAAACTGCAGCTTCAGGTTCCTAAAGAGATAGAATGTAACAGTTACATAATTCTTGTCAGTCCTTGTTTTTCTTGTTACTCTCCTGCTCTAATAGATTTGGAAATGTAAGGGGAGGCGTGTTCCTGTGCTCACATCAGACCGTCCTGCGTGTGGATGGGAGGCTGTGCTTTCTCTCCTGGGAGAGCACCAAATGCAGCAGCTCCCTGTGGGTGGTGCTGGGACCAGCCCTGCCCCAGCCCTGCTCACCCTGCAGCCTGGGGAGGTTCCTGCTTTGTGAAGAGCCTGAGTGCTTTACCAGATCCTTAAAGGCAAAGTGCAAAACAGGCCTGTGGAACCGGACAGGGCATTAGTTCTCCGTGTTTGCACGAGCACGTTTCGAAGTTTATAACTCTTATGTTCCCCCCAACTGCACATTCTCCTCCAAACACGCTGTTACACGAGTTGTGCATATGCTGTAATGGCTATTGCAGCTGTGAGCCCTTTCCAGAGAAAGGGACTTGTCATACGAAACATCCTGTGCATTGGCAGGGTCTTCACACACAGCTCCTGACCGTGACTGCCCTGTCAGCAGCTGCGATGAGGTGCTGTGACAATTCCCCTTGTGTGCTTTAACCTTGCTGGGGTGGATTTAGCCCCCAGACACGCTGTGGAAACCATTCCCAAGTTTCCTGTTCCGTCGGGCTGTGTGCAGCCAGTCCAGTCTGTCTGCAGTGCTCGCTGCAGTGCCATGGCAACCAGGAGACTGGGGATCTCACTGCCAGGATGGGCTGCCCGTGGTGGGGCCCTGCCACAAGGTGCCAAGGGCTGTGGGTGCCTGGGAGATGAGGGTCAGGGGACCCAGGGCTCTGGTGGGTGCAGGGTTCCTCTCCACCTGCTGTGTGGGCAGCCTGAGCGCTCCCTCTCAGTCCCAGCACAGTGGAGGGTTCCTGGGACTGGCAAGCAAAACAAAAACTGTCATGAACAGTCTTTTCTAATGCCAGTGGTGGGCACAGGGGGAGCTGCTCGGGGAGGGAGGGCTGTAACAGAGTGGAATGAAGAGCTGCAGTGTGGTCTCACTTCACTCTGTAGGCACCCAAGATTTTCTCAGTAGTCGATGAACACAACACTTCCATCTGGGGTTCAGTGTGTTTGTGGAAGGTGAGATGAATTTTGGCTGTGGAGCTTACTCTGTCTCAAATACATTTGGGCAGAATGACCGTGTCCTCACTGGAACTGCACGTTACCCCTCGGGCTGTGTAATGCTCTTGTTAGCACAAAACTGGAGTCAAGGAAAAAATGTTCCTGAAAGCAGCAATTACAGTTTTTAACCAGCCTTTTGTCATTGCCAGTCTTGACAGGGAGACATTGAGTGACCAGAAGGTTAGGGAGACTTCTCTTGGCACAGTGACCAGCAAGTGAGTCCCTGCGGGGGTGTAGGTAGGGAAGCAGTGCCCGGAGCCCGCAGCGGGGGCCGGGCATGGGCCGTGGCTGGCGCTGTCCTTGTGCCTGGCAGGATCCTGCTCTGCCCCTGTCGGGCCTGTGGGTGCTGAGGAGCTGACAGGTTTGCTGTGTGCTCTGGGCCGGACAGCTGCTGGAAGAACACCTCACTTCAGACAGACCTGTCGACAGGCACAGCTCAGTATTTCACAGCACAGTCTTTCCTCATGGCATTCAGCTTAATTAAGATGTTGTTGTGACTACATATTGCCTTCATTTCAGACTTGAGCATCTTCTGCCTGCATATTGCTTCAGCTTATCAGAGGCACAAGGACAGTGAGGGAGAGGCAGCCCTCGCAGGCAGGCACAGATAATAACATGCAGGGAAAATTCCTGAATGAAGTGAAAAATTATTTATAATAATGGTACTCAGATAGAAAGGAAATAAGTCACTCTAAGGGTATATAAATTTTTATGATAGTGTATAAACAGCCATAGCTTGCCTTGTCTCCCATCTATCCCTGCAGAGAATGAGGGCAACATCTAGCATAAAGAAAAATATAATAAGGAAAAGGAAGAAATGAATGAGAAGAGCTGGAGGATTGATCACCCGGTGTATTTGTATATCCTGATGTAAGAGGTGCTGCTGACAGGTGGCCAGGTTTCCTCTGTATAAAACCATGTGTGTGCTGTCAGGGCGGTGTGAGCAGCCTTGTTTCGATTGATGAATTGCCTGCTTTCTTGATTAAACCTTCCGTCACTTACCAAACAAAAAGCCTCTGTTTGGATGGCAGAGTGGGATGTGTCAAAAAATCTGTCTGCTTTACCTTTGTGCAGATGTTGGGCACAGACTGTAACATGTATTATTAAAATGAATGTGGCATTTACTGTGCATTGTTTCTTTCCTGGGAGAAGGGACCTGTAAATTATATGCTAATAATAAGCTTTAACCCTTTCAAGAATCAGGAGATTTAGGAGTGCAAATACTCCTGCAGGCCTCACTAATTGGATGGGCTCTAACACACTGCAGCACTCTGAAGTTACTGAGCAGCAGGTTCCAGCACCGTGTGCTGGTGCCTCTCGGGATTTGCTTCCCATAAGTTTTCTGCTGTGTAAGTGCCACGGAAGCGGAAACCTTCCAGATTACAAAATCTTCCATGGGAAGGCCCCTCGAGCTCCGATTGCAGTCAGGGCTGTGTCTGCCCGGGCGGGGCCAGAGGTTCATTTTTCGGGCGCTTAAATATGGAAACCATGCTGGAAAAACAAAAGAGCAAAGCAGAACGTATTTTGATGTATGTCTTCTGATAGTATTTTCAAATAGCACTTGCAAGCTGTCTGCCCAAACAATTAAAACACTTGTGCAAGTACCTTAGAAAATGAATGATGCCATATATGACAGGTGTGACATCCCTATGTGTGTGACCTCAATTTGTGTCAGTCCATAGAAATAAAACAGGCTCTGGAAGCACAGATTATTTGCACTGCATAAAAGTTAACTGAAGTGATTTTTACAGTATCTGCCACTACTTGGAGCATTCTCAGTTCAGTTCCAGACCCTGCTGAGCTGCAGGTGAAGGTTTGCATTGTCTTCCAGAGGCAAAAAGCCGTGTGCTCTGGGTTGGAGCTTGGACGTCACATGCCAATGCAGCTCCCACTTTACCCACTGGTAAGGCAGTGTCCTGTGACTGAGGCAGCAGCACCTGTCGTTCCTCTGGGGAGGAGCAGCAAGTTTTCCAGCAGTCGTTTGCCACCATGATGCCTTTGCAGATCTCTCTTACTTCAAAGGTACTACTTTCTGGTTGTCTTTAACCACATTACCCACACAGCTGCTTGTGTGGA